TATTTAATTGAGTTTAAGCAATGAGTTTAAGAAATTTTCACTTTATCTCATTCTGGCATTTCCAAAGTTTAACTCTTATCAGCCTCAAGCCTTAGGGACTATTTCCAGACCCTATCACACTAACTGTGGATCGATGTATCTCCAAGGGAATTCTCGCTAAATTGCAATCAATGTAAGTGGCTTAGCTGTCTGTCACGCCTACTGAAACTGGCATGCCAGAATCCTAAGCCGCTTAAAATGAAAACAATTTAGTGAGAAACCCCTTGGAGTTGGATTGATCCTGTTAGATTGATCTAGGTATGGGAACTCAGTCTAATGCTTGTTACACATTTTACTTTCATCCTAATTCAATGTTATGCACAATTAGAATTTGATGTTTGCTATGCAGTTACAGTAAGCATAATACATTAGTGCATCAAAATTGACAGTATCCTATTTCCTGTGCTTTTTTTCTGTTTTTTGTCTGTACATTTGACAGCTTTGCTGCCTTGTTATTATTATTATTATTATTATTATTATTATTATTATTATTATTATTATATTTATTTACTCATCATTTGTCATTTTTATGGGACATTGCCTAAATGTGTGTTAATCCATCACTGGGATAGATTTGCTTCTAAAGGTATTATGTAGTCATACATAGACATATATGTATCAAGTTGACAGAAAACATCTAGGGATATAAACAACTGAATGAAATCATCTGCCATTGAAAGCTGTCAGACATATCAATTCCTTCTTAACTTCATGTAATAATGATGTTACATTTCACCTTAAGGTAGAGTGAAAGCACCATAACTTGGTGCAAAGTTGAGAGAATATCTCTGATATGTTCAGTAATGATAAGCCTTGACAGAAGTGATAAGTCACAAAGTCTAGTGGTCCACATTCACGTTTACTTAAGGGAGGAGCAACAATCTTGTTTACAGAATCCTTTATCATAATGTCCAACAGAGAAACCCCGCCTTTCCAGTAAGATTTTTTAAAATTAATTTTGCAAATTATATTGATAATTATCTTTAGAGATTGACTAGAGTCAGAAATAAGTTCCACTTTAATTACTTACTTCAATTGATTAAGTTATTTCATCATTTTTTCCAGATGGTTTTGTAGTAGTCAATTCTTCAAAGGAAACCTTTTGGACTAGGATATTTTCACAGCATTTTCTAGAAGGTGGAGGAGATGGTAATGACGCAAGAGATGACATGATGTTTTATGTGAAGAAAAATTTAGGAGGAAAAAGTAGACTAACAGCTCAGGTAAACAATCACCAGGGTTTTTTTTCTTGTAAATTTGATGACCTTTTTTTCAAGTATTGTATTTTAAAAAATTCATTACTGTTATTGTTTTTCCTGTTATTTATTCATGAATTTTTGTTGTTTATTTCAAATGCCTTTCTTTTCTCTTCTTTGTTACTCACATTTAACCAAACTGTTTTTAAATTGATTTGTGATCTTTTGAAAAATTATGCCAATTGTGCTTAAACAATTGCAGTTGATTGATAAATGTGAGGTATTGGGTTTAAAATTGAGTAGCTTTGGTGTTATTCATAGATTTTACGGGATTGCATGCAGGCTGATTTTGTTATATGAAATTCAGTGTTGAGTCAGAATTATACAAAGTCAATATTGCTGAGTGACTGTTGAATATCAGAGTATCATAGAAAACTTCATAACCAGTCAATTGATTTGTACAGTCATGCAGTTTGCAGATTTAACAAAGAATTCTCACTTCTGAAATGATCATTTTTACTAAATGTGCTTACTGAAATTTTTAAGCAGGGATAAGTTGTAAATGAAAGAATCTTGAATAATTATTAGTTAGTATATTAATCATTTTGAGTGATATGATTTATCTTTTTAAGCCAAAAAGTTGAAGGCAGTGGTGTAGAATTGTAACTATTTAAATTATTTGAGGCAGTCCATTTTTTTTCCAGGCTGATATAGATGTATATAGAAAAGATTCAAAAAAGCTTCCCACTTTAGGAGACCCTGCCATCGACTGGGAGGAAACTGTGTACTTAAATGTAATTTTACATCAAGTAAGTATATTTATGCTTTCCAAAGAGTCACACAGTCATATTTAAGTGTGTCGATCAGTGGTTACTTCCATAACTTTATAAAAAAAAGATAAAAAAAGACATCCAGGTTTGATAATTGTCATTGTTGTAGCTTAAAGTATTCTATTTTAATTATTTTACTTGTAGTACAAGAATTGTGTGCAGAAATGTAAATAAGAGAAATGTAAATTATTTCTAAATGCAGTCTTCTTTTCCTGAAATGTAATCACAAATGTCTGGGGAAATGTAATACAGACAACTGGAAACTTCTGAGCAATTTATGAATGTTTACTTTCAGTGGTTTTATGTAATTTGATTAAAATCATTTTTCTGTCAAGACTTTTCAGCAAAATGTCTGCCACAGAAATAGCACTCATCATGCTTCTGAAAAACCACAATTTCCTGGAAAAATCTAATGCTCCATTTTATTTCCCGTAAAAGAAATGTATGATAAGTGACATCCAGAGACTGTTGTGAATATCAATTTTTAATTCCTTAAGAGACGAAATTGATATCTTTGGCTAACACATCTGCCCAATATACCACTTCATTCTTAAAAAGCCATTTTCCATGTTGCTAATACTAAACAAGGGATGATTCACCAAGTCTGTGGCTCTTGCCTGTCAATATATTTGCTTGTTTGCTGGAATGCCTGTAAGTAGATCTGACACAGAGAATTGGAAAGGAAAATGGATGATTCAGAGAGACCAATGTACCAATTTGGCTCAATATACCATACCCTTAATGGTTTAGTGAAGCATATTGTATTTTCAGATATTATATGCTAGAGAGATGTCCTTAAAGCTTTAGATAAGGAATGGTGCACAAGTGTTGATTTTTTTTATCTCAATAAGCTTATTTCTCTTGGGGTGGATGAGCTCCATCTGAATGAAACAGGCCATGTTTGGCACATTTTTGTCTTCTTTGAGATCATGCTGATGCTGTTGACTTCTCACATACTCCTATTCAACATCTAAGGCTCTATTCCCATAGATTTTAGATCGATCTATCCCCGCGGGGATTCTCACTAGATTACTTTCAGATAATCCGACTTAAATGTCCGTCCCGCCTACTACAAGCTGTAAGGGGATAATTAACTTTCGTGTCCGCCTGGCTGACAGCTATTTAGCGTGAACCCCCAGGGAGTTAGGTCGATCTAAAGTAGGTCGATCTAATCTATAGAAATGGGGTGTTACAGGGCACTATAATCATGACTGGCTATTGGCCAGTGGTCAACTAGCAAGACTGCGGTGTTCAGCTTTGACAAAATCTGACAAGATATTTCAAATATAAAGATGCCATTTAATATAACCAACATTGAATCTGATTCTTTTATTGATATAAGTGGTCATGCAGTTGTAGTTACATATCACATTGGTAATTGATTCTAACTGGATACTCTGTGTGTGAGAGTCTACCAAAAATTTGCAACTGGGGACAGTTTCGTTACTGACAGAACTAAGTTTAACAAAGGTTTGTTATAATGTATAAGATTGTTCATTAGGAAATATTGTTTCTGTTTTTCCAGCGTCCTCTGCTAGTTTTGCTAGTCAAGATGCACTAAAGCAACCTAAGTGATGATTCATGTCGGTTTAAGGGCGGTTGCTGATTTTGCTGCAAATTGTGCCCTGGAACATGTAGCAGTTATCAGATTGGATTTGATCTGTCTGGAGAAATGAATGTATAAACTTGAATGGATGCTATATATGCAACATGCCTTTTGCCTTTTTCACTGAGAGTGTAACTTGAATGTGAAGTGGTTTTCAGGCAGAGCTAAGAAAGAATGGGTGTCATATTTTTGTTCTTGGAAATTACTTACGGGCTTTAGCTCTTTTCTTGAATGAAGTTTAATGCCAGTATCAGGTTTCTGTTTGGCAAAGTGATATCATTCCCAAGATACTGACCAAACTCAGTTTTATTGATTAGATAATAAAGTAGATGATTAAGATAATTAATCACTCCTTATTTTTGCTTAATTATTAGAATGGCTTCTAGCAAATTGATTTTTTTTTTTTGTCTCTGAGAAGAGACAGAAATGTTATATGTCATGCAAGTAGGGTTTATTTATAAGCAGATTAAACTACAGTGAGAAACACATGAATTCGTAGAAAGGTACACGATAATGTAAAAGAAAATGAAGAAAGAAGATGCAGAGATTTGGATGCACAGCCCCTAAGTAAATAATTGATTAAATTCCCAGGCTCTGCAGTCTAACTGCACTTAGATTCTTCACAAGTGAAATTGATTTTCTTTTTTGGCACCTTCATTGAATAACAATAGGGAGACTTCACATCATAAATTATCTCGACATTATTTACTCCCTGGTATAGACTGGCCAGACTTGGATTGTTTACTCTTTACATTATGATGCAATTGTTATTATTGTGCCGTAGGCGACATAATGGATATTGTCATGTATGCACAGGGTATTGATTCCCTGTTGTCATTGTGGAAGATAGACTAGATAAGGAAATTAGGTTAGAAGTCAGGAAAAGTATACTGTGTAGGTGATTTTTTGAAGAGGAGCTAGGACAATGCAGTGCTGTCAAGTCTGATTTGATTTCTACTCAATACATCTGGGGCGAAGTAATCAATAAATATGAGCGTGTGCATGTGAGTGTGTGGGAGTATGCAGACAGTTGTTTGTACAGAAAAGATGTACAGATTTATCAATATTATTATTTAAAGGATAATGGTTATAGCTTATATTGTTAAGAAAATTGAACAAAAATTCTTACAGTTGTATATGCTGTTTCAGATAGAATATCAACTTACCTGTGCAGTATGTAGCAGAACAGGGGATAAAGAATTACAAATACTCAAAAAAATTAGCCAAGTAAGTGTATAGGATTGGGTAATTTTGTTGTTTGCAAATTGAATGCCTTGACTATGTTGAGATCACAATATACTGGTTTGAAGTTCATTTAAATTGTGTCAGAATTTGGAAGTTAGATATTGGTGTACCTCACAGATAAGGTTATTATGTTGACCCTGATAACTTTGCCGTGATCTATTTGTCTGCACTCTGATTTTCCAAATTGAATTCCATTAAAATACTTAATGTCTGTCATTTTGGGAACAAACCTAAAGTCAAAAGTATTGTCTCACTAAATATGCTTCATTTCACATTGTTATTTCTGATAATCTTTTTACCGATTTTCTTTTCAGAAAGTATATGCATCTCCTAGTCGTAGGCAAATGGAAAGTAAAGGCACAGAAGAAATAATGACATACCCAGATATATTTTTCATGATAGATGATTTTGAAGAGGTGAGTAAGAAATGTAACACAAATGGCAATTCTCAAAACTAGAACAAAAATTTTATCATAAGAAATAGGATTTTATTATCACAAAGTAATATACCAGTGTTTCATATTTTGGCACATATTCTTCCTTATTATATTATCATCACTAAATATTTATTCCACAAAGTAGTCCGCGTGGCTGCTTTTGTACCCATCTCCAATGGTTTAGTCTCTCAGGTTGAGCTCCTTGCTGCTTTATATAGATTCTGATTGATTGATTTTTGCCTCCCAATGGAGTTTCATGAATCATGGTATCTGTACATTGGTCAGTTTATGCCTTCTGGTTGAATTACAATTATATGTACTTAACCATCATTATTATTATTATTATTATCATTATTGCTATATGTATCATCTCCCTGTCAAAGATAATAGTAATAATGATATTTTCAGAAATGAAGTTGGAGGTTACTTTTAATTCATATATATTATAATCAATATACGCTGGAATTCACACCATAGTTCTCTTGTGTATTGTTTTAAACGAGCTATTTAACTCTCTGCAGTGCTAATGTGTTTGTTCAGAGTTCACGTTTACATAAATTTGATTTGAATACTAGGCTGTTGTTACCCAAATGACTTGGGAATTGAAAGACAGATAGAATTAGTATTGAATTTACAGGTGACATTTGTTACTGATAGGTGGCTGTTTGGAATGTCTTGAGTTTTGAAGAAAATCCTTCAATTTGATTTTACAGAACACTATTTGAAACTATTTCCTAAAAATGAAAATTCCAAATAGTGACTTGGATTTTTGTCAAAAAGTATATGTTTGAATGAAATTAAAGCTGATGAATCTTTGAAATGATTTAAAAGTATTGGAATAGATTTAAGTTTTTGATTATTTTAAATAACAATAGTTATTGTAATTCTCTTGTTCTACCATATTTTTTCAAATTAAGACAATTACTATTACAATAGAAAATGCTAGATCCTGTAAATGTGACCACATGATTCAAGATTATAAGCCTGGAAAAATGTTTACAAATTCACTTGAATAAATCATTGATACTTTAATATATCTACCAGTGAGCGTGATAGCAGAAGTCATATGGCACCATGTTTATCTGATATTCAGTGATGCCATTTGCAAACAGCGTAGATTTATATGATTTAGCTATAAAAAACCAAACAGCTCATTAAGGGTGATGTGCAGCACATGAAATGCGTAAGAGAATGTGAGAAAATGTTGATTGAAGCAAATCTTGACATTTTATTTCCAATAAATTACTTGAAACTATTCCATAGATGAGAAATCTTAGCTAGTTAGTACATGCTGTTTGCTTTTTTCCCCCAGATATTTAGTGACATTATAATCCGTGACAGTGAGATGGTATGTGTAGAACTGGTGGCCAGTGATCGTATGGGAGAGCACCATGGAGTGATATTCCTGGGCTCAGTGAGATATGATGCTCTCAGGAGGGTTTATGATACTAGGGTAAGTGGAGACATCTATTGGCAATTTTATCATGATTGATCTGTCACAATATGAACATGCATGACACTAAGGTGAATGGGGCATCTAATGGCAATTTATCATGAGCTACATCTCACAAACTTAACTTCAGAAATATGATAAGTACATTTGTAATGTCCTCAATGACCAACGAAAATGCAAGCAAATGTTTTTTTTTTTTTGTTTTTTTTTGTTTTTTTTGAATTTTTCAAATGCTTTTAAGCATTTGAATTAATTAATATTAAAATATAGCATTAATATTAAAATATGATAAAATTAACCAAAAGTTTTAAAAATCTTTATATTTTTGGTGCATTTTGCTATTGTTTAGGCTATTCTATCTATAGAATAAATAAATGAATTAAACATATCTAAGGCAGCCTTTTCTGTTTTATTTCAGGCTAGTCTATCGCACAGAATGGCCAGTTCTATGTCCCTAGGTTTATTTAGTGGTAATCGTAGGGTAGAATTCTTAAAAATGCGTGGTCCAGGGAGTAAAGGTTTTGCCGAGATGGCAGTGAGCAGGGTGCAAGGGACAGGAGTAGACACACCTGCTTCAACACCAGACTCTGAGAATTTCCCAGAAAATGGCTTTGAAGAGGTAAGACTGAAAGAACAAATAAAAGAGGAATGTTTACTGAAGTAAATATTATGGAAAATTGTTGTTCAAAGAGATAGTGATGGTCATAGACCCATTCTACTGGTAGCTGAGTGCAGACATCCTAACTGAAATCATCTATATTCACAATACAGATGTGTGTACTGTGTTTTTCATGCTTGTTTCCTTTCCTTCACCCAAGGCTCCGAACCCACCACAGAGGCGAATGAGTGATCCTAGTCAAGCCATTCAGTGGGTGAAGAGTAGCTTCAGGAGAGGCATGAAAAAGTCCCAGTCGGCACAGGAGAACGTGGACGATGTCAGCTCAAATAACTGCCAAGAAGTTGAAGCTTCCAACTTACTAGATGGTAATACTATACTGAAAACAGGCGTAGGTTAGAAAACCTGCTTAATACGGACATTAGATGTGTTTTGTTTATATGGATATTATACTCAGTACTACAGTCATGTAAAGTCAGTATGTTGTGTTGTTTCATATTTTTTTAATAAAAATTGTATGGTAATAATTTATTACATTCTCACAATCTGTGAACACATTGAACTTTCTTATTTTCTTCAGTTTCATATTTTAACTGTGGTTTTGAATCTTTTTCTTTGTATTTTTCTTCTACTTATCTTTAAAATGTTAAATAATTCTGATATTTATGAGCTGATACTTGAAAATTAATGTTTTAAAGAAAAGAGCTTTAGCAGTTAAACAATATGATTAGGAAAAAACAACAGATAAATATATATTGAGAAACCACAAAACTTAAATCTGATTTTTATCTCATTTCCAGAACTTACTAAACCAGATAACTACGGCTTCATAGGGAAATCATTTGGGCAGGCGTGGCACTGGTTTAAAGAAAGACGGCGTGCAACTTCGCCGGCACTGAATGCCTACCTCACTTATGTCACATTACCATGGCACTTAATTATAGCTGGTAAGTTTGAGTTTTGGTAAGAAAAATTGCATCATGGGAGACATTGTGTCATGGGATATATTACGATGCTCAGGATTCCAGTGTCCAGTTTTTTTTACTAATTTGGGTCAGCTGATCTTGAGGCACCTCATCTTGTGGTCTTCTGATGATAATTTCCTCACCACCACAGGCAACAAAAAGTTTCTCTGTTTTATCCTGCTTACTGTAATTGCTATTTAATTAAATCATGTGCTGTTAAATTGGCTTAAGTGGAAAAGTTATCTCCTCAGATGCCCTACTAGGTTGGTTGATTTAATAAATAATTGATAATTCTGCTCACAATGCCAAAGCATAATTATCTTGTAGCTGTTTACAGATACAGTGACAAATGGTTTTAGCTTTAATAAATGTTCTTTAGAATATCAGATTCCCAGTTACCAGAGAACTTAAATTGGTTGGTCACTGGGGGCCAACTTCTATTATCACTGCACATTCTTATAAATCAGTAATCTCATCAAATTTTAGTGTAAATGTCAGAAAATTGTTTAAGGATAGGACAGCTTTTGATATTTCTGTTTGTATATTCTGTATATTTTAAGAAGTGTGGTAAATTTTATGTGTAATATTTAAAATAAAATATGAATAGATAGAAAGCGCCACTTGTGCTTGTTATTGTAAATTATATTCTGACAAGGTAGATGCATTGCATGAGTCACTGCTTATCACTGTCACTAGTAGACGCCTGAAATTTTTACCTTTTAATGCCATTGCTTATTGTATGTATGGTTTTATGTTACAGATGTCCTTGAACCTAGGCAACAACCTGTGTTGACATTTTAAATGGTGCTGTCAAATAATTGGTGCTTATTCACGTGTGCAACTCGGGGCTAGATATGATATGCATGTGTAGCAGAGAAGCTCTTCGTCAAAGGAATGCTGGTTAGAAAACCTGGCTGACCAGCGAGCACAAAAAGAAACTCGGAAAACTTGGGACCTGGTTGTGTATCTATTGAGTGAACTTGGTATGTTATTATTTGGATGTGGTAATAGGAAAAAAATGGAAGCATATTATTCAAGGTTAGTTTAAATGAAAGGGACAGTTACTGGGCATGAAATATTTGACTGCAGGATAGATTCAGTTGCTGGGGAGGTAACAGTAAAAAAATTGTTAGAAAAAACTCTAGAAGGAAACCTATTTAAAATTTATTTTAAAGGGATAACAACTCTTCGTATGAGGTCTATAGTTCACAATAAAAACATTATGAATAAGTCATAGAAATATAGTATATTCTGTTTTACGTCAAAAACAGCAGTTATAGCTATTATTCTGATATCTGAGCTTGTCTTCAGACTACGTGACCTCCATTGATGGCTATACTCTCTTATAATCTCTTAAGAGTTTTTAACAAAATACCAGACTTTTTAGAAAAAACACAAGGGACTAACTTTGAGTGTAAAAATGGATTCATTAACCATTGGTAAGTATGGAAAAATTGATGTTTACTCCAGGAAAATTCATTTTTTGGCCAAAATGAAGAGTTATTATCCCTTTAATCTGTCAAAAGAAAACCAAATCTAACCAGTAAAAAGATACCTAAAGAGCTGCTTCATGGTTTACTGCTTTATATGAAATAGGACTGGCAGGATTCTGGAAGTTTTACCAGATATTGGTGACTTATTGCACTTTGATGAAGAGAAAAATTGAAAATGAAGATGCGCATTCCTTGATGTTTGAGCAGACGAATTTAATCATTCCACAAAGAAAACTGTTTTCATTTAATTATTGAAAATTCCACATCGTTTACAGAATTTCGTTACCATTATTGGTATAATTTTAAAATATTGCTAAGTGCATTCAAGTGAAATTATTTATTTTTTAAGATATTTGATGTGGCACCTCAATTTATGGGGTGGATTTTAAGATGGATGAAGACTTAATGTGGTAGGCCTATGTTTATTGTCCTTGCAATTATTATTCTGTTGTGAAAATTGGCTGTTTGTATTCTGTATTGCCATTTTTTGAGAAGGGGGGGAGGGGAATTAAAGTTTGTGACCATGATAAAATATAATTGTTATTCAGTTATTTAGGTCAGGTATTGAAAATCTATTGCTCATGACAACAAATCTGCTGAGCTGTTCTTTCAAGTGTTCTACAGTTGATCTCGATCTTGATAATCATTGTGATTAAGCAATCATTGGTCCTTAAAATCAAGTTTA